ATCTAGTTTACTGATCAATTACAAGATATTAACAAGAATCTGCATTTTTTGACTAGTCATGTTTGATGCAAGTTTCTCTTCAAACACTTGATAATCTGCTACTTACTATATTTAGTTGAGTCCTAGTACAAGAGAAGGGCAAGACCTCATTTTGTTTTCTTTACTAAGTCAAGATTAAGAGAGTTTGCCTGGCATGCCAAAAGTCCTCTAACTGATGCCCAGCACTTAAAAACAAAAATTTACCTTTACTTGGAGCCAAACAAAACAAAACATTCTAGAGGTCCTTTAAAAGGATTAAAAAAAAAAGAAATGTGCCCTTTATATCTATAGAATATCCGTTATTTTATCATCTTCATGACAATATGCTTCTATAAATGAAATATGATAGAAATTATTTTTGACACCTGTAACAATACTGATTCTTATAGTACTTTCAAGTTGTAGAAGATTAGGGCTCTAAGTAAACTGGTGTCAAGTCAGTATTTCCCTTTCTTTTTTTTGTAGATGATGGGTTAATTTAAAATTCATAGTATGAGGGATAGCTCAGTGGACTAAGCTCCTGTTTAGGCCAGCACAGGGACTGGATTCAATCCCTGGCACCACATGCCATCCTGGCCCTGCCCCCAAGTGTGCTGAGCTGGCCACCAAGTCCTGGCATGGTGGCGCATGCCTGTAATCCCAGTGCTGGGAAGGCTAAGACAGTAGTATCACTATGAATCCAAGTTGCGCAGTGACAGCCTGTACCAAATATATAAAAAAGTAAAATTCATAGTATGTATTGCCATTGAAATTAAATATAATTTACTTATCTTTCCAATTTATTGAGATTGTTTTTTAAATTTACATTCTCTCACCCAACTGTCCAAGTCACAGATTTGATAGTCATTTAATTAACCACTAAAAGTCATTTTTAGTAAAAAATCAGAGCAAAAATAAATATACCAGGACACTAAGACAATTTTTTACCACTTTAAGAAGAAATATGCTGGGGCTGGGGAGATAGCTTGGTGGCCTAAGCACCTGCCTGGCAAGTGCAACAACCTGGGTTAGATTCCCTAGTGTGGCATGCCAAGCCAGCGGCCCTGGAACCCCAAATGAGCAGGCCACAGAAACTGGGTGTGGTGACAGACACCTGTAATCCCAGTGTTCGGGAGATTGAGATAGTAGGATCACTACGAGCCTGAGCTACGTAGCGAGAAATGTACAAAACTACAAGTTAAAAAAAAAAAGATAATTCTAGGCCCAGCCAGATAGCTCAGCAGATTCAAGCACTTGCTTAGGCAGGAGCAGGGGCTGGGGGTTCAATACCCAGGCCTGCAGTCATCCCCACCCATGGGGCACACTGCGACAGCAACTGAGACTGGGTGTGGTGCTGCGTGCCTGTAATCCCAGCACTTGGGAGGCTGTAAACAGGAGGATCACTAGAAGTCCGATCTATGTAGTGAGACCCGACAGACCCTATACTAAATACATCAAAAATACGTTTTTAAAAAATAAAAAAAGGTAATTCTAATTGTTACAATCTTGTTCCCAATCTACTTCCATCTATTGTCATCTCTTAATTAGCTCTTAAGCAGATCTTATATAAAAACATTTCTTAAAATTAAAAGGATATCATTTAAACCCACATTAAAACTTAAATTGGTTTTCCCCAAAATATTATATATACCTTAACCAAGAGAAACTGCTATTATTTGTCCTGTAAGCACAGCAATTTCACTCATTTTGTATCAGTGTTACCATAGCTTTCTATCATAAAATACTGAGTACTGTAAAAACTTTTATACCAAAGTTGTTAAAGTAACACATAGTGTATTTGTAGAAAGCAGAAGGCATGTGATAATAGCAAACAGACGCTACTAAAATTACCACTTCTCTCATTCTTTCCCGAGCTTTCAAGTATACATTTTCAAAAGCTGTTTGCTGAAGCTTCAAAGGAAGTGCTTTCAAAAACACGGAAGAATCTTGTTTTGTATTCTGAAACAATCTTTAAAAAAAAGTAAGAAAAAATAAATGACAAAGTGTTAGTTTTTTATTCAAACACCAATTTTCAAAACACAGACAAAATTAAATCACTCTGAGACATACATATTAGTTCTTGAAAAACTGATGAAATATGTAATCCATTTCAACAGTTGCAAGGAATCCACTTAGTATTAATGTCAAATATATAAAGGTAATACATTTTCTCCTATTAGTGAAATGTCTCAATTTATTTATTTTATTTATTTCTGAACTAGTGATGCAACCCAGAGCCTTAAGCTTGCTGAGTTACATACCCAATGTGGTTGGTTAGTTGACTTACTTACTTTCTTTCTTTCTTTCTTTCTTTCTTTCTTTCTTTCTTTCTTTCTCTTTAAGTTTAAGAAAGAATTTTTGAGATAGTTTCACTAAGTTGCCTAGGCTGGCCTTCAACTTGCATTTCTCCTGTCTCAGTCTCCCATGTTCAAAAGATCTTTTAACTATTGCCTGAATTTGAGTAATATTGCCCTTAAACTGCCACAAAAAATAATTTTTCCTCCTGTCCAAAGACTTCCATTTAGTCACCCCAAAAAAGGGCAGTTTAATGCCTTGGTACTCCACTTAAATTTGTAATGGAGAAAAGCTGATCATTATCTTTTTTCTGTAATACCTACAAATTTAAAATAATTATCCAATTTTTCATTCACACATTTTCACTAATTGAAACTTCTAAAATGTTTAGTACTCCTCCATTTTTCCAGTTTCACTATCCACTCTTAAAATAGTCCAACATTAAAATATTTAAGCAAAAAAACAAAAATTAACAAATTCTTTTAAATCTTTTTAGGTGTATTTGGTGCAAGGTCTCACTACGTAGCTCAGACTCGTAGTGATCCTGTTTTCAGTTCCCTCAGTGCTGGGATTATAGGAATGCGCCACCATGCCTGGTCTCCGTGGCCAGCACAGCACGTCCAGTGGCGGGGCTGGCACAGCATGTGGTACCGGGATGAACCCTGGTCTCTGTGCTTGCCTAAGTAGGTGCTTAGACTGCTGAACTCTCTTGCCGGGTTTCAAGTTTTTAAATCTTATATTATTTTTTCCCCATCCTACCATCAGCTGTTTTATAACATTCAATTAAAGGTCCTACATAATTCCAGATCTTTAACTTTAGCATATATTTTCTTTTATCTGTCAAATTCAACAAGGATTTCAACTACTACACATACTTATTAGCAGCCTTGACAATGGAGTAGTCTTATTTTTAAAAATTCCCAACCTGAGGACTTAAAACACAAAATCTGGTTCATGGAAATAGGCTGTCAGTATATTTAAATTCTGGATGTATCAGTTCATTTTAACACATAATTTGACTGCTAGGTTCAAGGTCTCTGTGGAGATCTATTATTGCTCACTTATTTTTGAATATTAAAGTTATTCAAATGATTTTCAGCTTTGATGTTTATCAAGCAGCACGTAATTTGTTTTTAAACACAGTGAATTATTTTACCTACAATATTCAATCCTACACACCACCAATGCCAAAATATCATTTTAGGAGCTAAGATAGCAGCAATGAACAGAAGACACCAACCAGTGCATTCTGGGAGTTAGGACTCTGGTGGGATGAGGAAAGGGTATGTTAAATACATCAAGCAATGAGAAATGTTATGGAGAAAAATAAAGTAGGGATGTGCCATATTCAATGGAAGTAAAGGCAGGTGAATTGAGGAGCAGGCTGCATTAGAGGTTGTGCTGTCATTATTTTGCAGTGCTGGGTACTGAACTCAGGCCCAGGAGTGCTCTACCACTGAGCTGCATCCCATTCCTTTTTCTTTTCCTACTCTGAGACAGTCTAAGTTGCCAGGCAGACCTTGATCTTATGATCCTTTTCCATCAGCCTCTATTGGTTCTAAGATTGCAGGTGTGTGCCACCACACCTGACTTCTATTTAGAAAATTTAAAATTATTCTGATAACCAGATAAACATATAATCCTTAAGAAATTAGGGGCCGGGGGGCTGGGGAAATGGCTCAGTGGAATAAGCGCTTCCCTGGCAAGCACAAGGGCCTGAGTTCAATCCCCGGTTCTGCCAAAAAAAAAACAAAAAACGAATTTCGCTTCCCTAGCAGGCACAATGGTCTGAGTTCAATCCCCGGTTCTGCCAAAAAAAAAAAAAATAAAAGAAAAAAAAAAGAAAAAGAAATTAGGGGCTGGGGAGATGGCTCAGTGGAATAAGCGCTTCCCTGGCAAGCACAAGGGAATGAGTTCAGCCCCTGTTTCTGCCAAAAAAAAAAAAGAAATTAATATTCATTTATATAAGTACTCAAACATAAAACTGACCACAAGAAAGTTCCAGTGCCTAACTGTATATTTAAGAAAATAAAATTATCAAGTAAAATGTGTTATCATTTTATAAACTCACATAAAATTATAATATCCAAATTCTACACATCCCATAATGCATCGCTCTCAAATTAGTGCCTTATTAATTATGTGGCAGTAGGTAAGTTACTGTACCTCTTTAGGACAGAATTTTCGTGTTTTTTTTTTTTTTTTTTTTTTTGCAGAACCAGGGATTGAATTCAGGCCCTTGTGCTTGCCTGCCAAGCACTTACTCCACTGAGTCATCTCCCCAGCCCCTAGAATTTTCACTGATTAAGTGCAATAAATAATAGCATCATAAAATTGTTAGATTAAGAACAAATATAAAAGCTAGAATTAACATGCCCAGCGTTACCGTTACTATCATAATGAATGAGCTCTAACTGTGCTAGACACTGCACTGCTATCGGCAGCATTTCAAACACTTCATGAAAATCTACCCCATTACCTATTAATCGATTCGGCAGTTAACATGCACACTTGGTGATTATCATCAGCAAGAAAGTGTGGAAATACTTCATTCACAGGAAAGTCTTCTCCCTTTACGTTAAGAATAGCCCATTTTGAATAAGGATCAGCCTATGAGGAAAGAACAACTGAAATTAAATATGAAATGTTAAGAGAAGGCTGGGGAGATAGCTCAGCCGAATAAGCACTTCCCTGGCAAGCGTAAGGGCCTGAGTTCAATCCCCAGTTCCGCCAAAAAAAAAAGAAATGTTAAGAGAAAAATAACTTATTATGACATATATTCAGGATAGGTAAGATGGTTGTAGTACCAATTTCCATTATTTTTTTGAAAGTAGCAGTTAATGGTCAAAATTTTTACTTGACTAACTCTATATGCGAATATATATAATCTGAACAACTACATCAAAGACAACAAAGGACAATACAAACACCATTGGCTGAATACCTCTCTATCTTGTTCTTCTAAGTGGGTACCACTTCTATGTTTATCAATTAATATATTCTCTTTAAAATAAATTTTTATAAACGTAAAAAAGGTCAAAAAAAAAAAAAGTAAAAAAGGTCAAGAAAAGAATTAAGGTTCATTGAAAGTAAGTGTTAATGTTTATTTGATCCATCTTGCATACCTATATCTATTAATCTGAACAACAGCTCTGATGATGAAAATGTGATATAACAACTACTCTTAAATTTTTATTCATTTTGAAATTCTGTACCATATATATTGTTTGTTACTCTATTTCTTTGTTTCTGCTGTTTTTACTTAAAAATAAAATTAAAAATAAGAAAGACATATATAGGCTGCTTTAAAATTCCAATGGAGATCCTACCAATAACATGGAATAGCTCACCTCAAGCAGAGTTCTAAGACATTTTACTATTGCCATCCTTACAGAGAACGTGCATTTCTTCTCTTTTGTCAGATGCCTGAAATGAGTAAGTTTTTTCAAGTCAAATAATCATTCAAATAAGAACCTAGACAGAAAAATCACTATTAACTTTATTATTCTGACTGCTTCCAACATTTCTTTCTGTGCTAAATTAATTCTCATTTTATAGAACACATTATTACACTTGACTTCCCCCAAACAAGCTAAGACATTAGTCTGAAAAGAAATTCAATATTTAATGTATGTTTGTTACCTACAATTGTGCCCCTATTTGGGGGCCATCATATTTCAGCTAGCCACAACACAGTAAACATATTTTTAAATTTTTGTTGTATCACAGGTTTCAAAACCAGGTTTTACACTGATTTAGAAGTCTTTATCAATCACATAGTACACAGGCTCTAAATCATGTATGTGTGCTCTTCTATAAATTTCAGCATGTTACCCCAGTCTGTGACTCTACACATGAAACAGATCGTGACAAGGCTAAGTGATTCACTCTGGGAACATGAGCAATTCCACTGCTTTCATCTTAGCACAGCTTTTCTTTTTTCACCATACATCTTCAACTACCAAATGACTCAAACACAATTTAGAAAGTCAAGCCTTATAAAAAGAATTTTTAAGTAATTGAGAGAAACATAAATTATATCCTGCTACTATTAAAAGATGCATATAGTTACACAGGAAAATCAGAAGAAGTCACTAACTTAAAAACGGAAAGTTTGCATTTCTATCCAGAATTACCAAAGAAAATTACAAATTCTACAAAACAGATTATACCTACCAAAATGCTCCAATCACTGTAAGGAACTGTCCTTGTGCCTCTCTCATAGGCTCTGAATCCATATCACCTTGACCTAAGTTTGTCACTACATGAAGGACATGCTTTAAAATTATTCTACAAACGTCTTGGTCACGGCGATACAAAGAACACACAGTGCTGTAGTGGAAAAAATTTATAAGCTTAGCAGACTACATCGGATAGTCTATAATTTTAAAGTGAAAATGCATAGTGTCTTACGATAGTGGTTTCAGAAGTTCAACAACATCTTCTACAGGAATAGGACACTGTTCTCCAGGTAGTTTCTTTAAAAGCACTAAGTACTAAAATGATAGAGAACAAAAAATCAGGTTTCTTCATAGATCACTTACTTTAAAAGCATGCAGATGCATAAATATAAATCCCTACTTACATACAGACACACAGAGTTGTAAATTTTAAAAGGACATATAAAGGCCTTTTTTTTGTGTGTGGTACTAGGGATTGAACTCAGGACCTTGTGCTTGCCTGGAAGCACTTATTCTACTGAGCTATCTCCCCAGCCCCAAAGGCCTTTGAAGTTACATACATTTAGATTCAAATTCATAATTATTTGTATATGGAAGTATCACAGTAAATCCCATTAACTTGTAAAATAAAATTAAAAAATAGCAAAATAACTTTCTGTGTTTTAAACTATATCATCTGGAACTTCTGTTCTCTTGCCCATAAAATGGGGAAACATCATTTATCAGACCAGAAAACTACAAGGATAAGCCTAAAGGTATAGACTTTATTTGCTTGCTTGCTTGCTTGCTTGCTTGCTTGCTTGCTTTCTTTCTTTCTTTCTTTCTTTCTTTTTTTGTGGATCTGGGGATTGAACTCAGGCCCTTGAGCTTGCCAGGCAAGCACTTATTCCACTGAGCTAACTCCCCATTTTTTCTTTTCTTTCTTTCTTTCTTTTTTTTTTTTTTAAAGGTATAGACTTTATTGTAGCAATGCAACCAATACATTATGCTCCCACCTACCCAAAATAACACCCGAGTATAAGAGATCAAAGGTTAAAAATTATTCTATTAGTGAACTTTTCAAAGCAAAGATAATTATGGGCAGGGGAGAAGTCAAACACCTTAACCTATCTTTGTATCTAGCCACCTGATTAGGATTTCTGTGATATTATGGATATAAAAGGCTGTGCAGGCTGGTGAGATGGCTCAGCACCTACTTAGAACAAGCTAAGCTAAGCAAAACACAGTGACGGCAGTTCAATCCCCCAGCACCACATGCCAGACAGCCCCGCCCCCTGGTGGGCTGAGCTGGCCACACACACAAAATGAATGAATGAATAAATAAATAAAAAAAAAAAAAGGCTGTGCAACAATTATCACTTATAATGGTAGTAACCAGTTTGCAAGAACTGACAATTTTCCAGCTACAATGACAAATCATAAGGCATTTCCCCCATCTCTAAAAACTTTTCTTATTCCTCAGTAACAAAATGAAATGATCCCTTTTAATATTTAATGTGAGTCATGTAAGATTTTATGGACTATCTTGAAGCAACTTTAAGCATCAAAGTTTCCAGAAAAGCTGGTCACCTTTCACCAAGGTGTACACGAGTACAGTCTGCCAGGTCTGAGACCAAGAATTCCAACAGGGCACAATTATCCCTGTTTGCTGGTGTTACAACATGATGTACCTAGTCACTACAGCTAGGAACGTGACCATGAAAGGGTTCCATGAGGGACTCAATCTGTACATTTGCCATGATTATTGAACCAACAAGACTGCCAGTTTACTGCAAATGAGGACATAACCAGGGACCACCCAGATGTTACTCAGCCACAGGCTCTACCCAATTGGCCTTGAGGACTGGGGGTAAGCCAAGAGATTAGTTCAATATAAGATTACTACGTAAATAAGTCAATCCATGTAGAAGCCAGGGTTGGTGGGTTTGTTCATTTGCTTTCCTGTCAGAAAAGGGACCAACAGACTTGGACAGATAAAAATAAACCCTGTGGTGAAGTGGAATTAAAGATATTTACCAGTAGTACTGAGTCAAAGGCAAAATTCTGACTTCAACCACATTATATATTATTTTTACAGTCAAGATCTACGCTTCTTAGAGTAGCCTACAGTAATTTGTAATAATTATACTTAACAGGACTAAATCTATCCAAAATCTGTCTAAATTTTAATATCTAAGTAAATGTTTTCATAGACTATTCAGAGAAAAAGTAAAAGCTAGGCCTGTGTGATGGCATGTCTTCCAGTTACATGGAAGACTGAGCCCAGCAGTTCAAAGCCTGCTTCAGCAGACAAGGACAAAAACAATGTAAGGAAAACAGAGTGTATTTTACAACTAGTCTCATTCATTTCTCAAGAAAATAATTTCAAATCTTCAAAGGCACCAAGTGATTCTTACATGTCACACCATTACATTCAGCCAGCCACACTAGATACAACCAGCTCCCCCACTTCACTGGACTCACCGTGTGTAAGTGGATGGATTTATTAAGATCCAGTGAATCAATTAGCATTAGTAACCTTCTCCGAATATCAGCAGCTCTGAAGGACACCGACTTAGTCTGAGATGTAGTCACACACATACACAGGAACTTGAGCATGTCTAAAAGAAGTAGCTCTTGCTTTGACAGATTCTCTTCTGCTAAAGGATTCATAGCACCTACAAATAAAAGCATTCATTAACACTGAGAGGGGTACAAGAGACACATACACTGAGTACAAACTTGAATGCCTCTACTGCTTTCCATTGTCCAAATAACTGAAAACATAGATTATTTCTTTACTGTAAATTCCTCTCATGGATAATAAAATAGAAAAGTAATACATTTAATTAAAGTCAGAGAAACAATAATATACAGAACAATCCTTATAGAGTATATTGAGGGGAAACAAAATTTGCATAAAATCGTTAATTTGGCTTCCTACAATGCTAAATTAAGTGATAAAATAATTCTCAAGCAGTAGATATGTATTTACCAGTGGTAGTCTGGTTCTCTCCAGGATCATGTGCATCATTCGCACTACTAGAAGGGTAATCATGAAAGAGATCTGTAGGTGATGAGCCATTTACATCTTTTAGATTTTCATTAGTATCATCTTCTGATTTTACCTCCCCAGAGTCAGATGGCTTTCTGATAAAGGATACCTTCAAAGAAGAGAAATATCTTTTCAAGTGGGATTCTTTCTAGGATTAGACATTTTTTTGTACCAGGAATCAAACCCAAGATCAAGCACTTCCCAGGCAGGGACTTAGGCTGCTAAGCTACCTTCTTGGCATCAAGGTGGCGCCTTTCAAACTCTTCAAATTTTCCCAACATAATTTATAGGCAAATGAATGTAAAACTTATAAATTGTTATATGACAATTTTGGAAGATAATGACAATATCCATCAACAAGCCAAGTACGGTGGCACATGCCTATAATCCCAGCCACTCAGAATGCTGGGGCAGGAGAATTGCTTCAGGCCAGTTAAAGATGAGCCTGAGTGAAAAAGCAAGATTGGGTCTAACGTGAAACTGAAATGAACTGAAATAAGCTAAATTAAATGTCAAATGCATATTCCTTTTGAATAATCAAGTCCCTTACTAGACTTTGTCCCATATCCCTCGTATGAAGAAATAAATACAAGTAGACATAATATAAGAATCTTTATACCAGAATATATTATTTAAAAAAACCAAAAAAAAACTAAGCACCACTAGAAACCTCAATTAAGAAAAGATAGCCAAAAAATTTCATATCTGTAGTGAAAGACATAGATCTACAGAAACAAAAAGATCTATATCTATATACATGCAGAGAGAGAAAGAGAAAAAAGAGACACCACAAAAATGTATACACATTCCAGCAGTTCACCACACTAATATGTATCTGGAAGCTAATGCTCACCACTGTGAGCACCTCTTATAACTGCAGAAGCCAAAGGGTAACGTACTAATCTTATGATGTCTTCATAAATCTGTATTTATATACTGGACCAGGGAGATAACTCAGAGATCTAAGCACCTGCCTGACAAGCACAAGGACCCGGGTTTGATCTCCAGTACTGCATGCCATGTTGGCCCTGACCCAGGCCCGTCAAACCAGCCACCAAAACCAGGCGTGGTGCTACATGTCTACAAACTCAGCGCTGAGGAGGATGAGATAGGAGGATCGCTACAAGTTAGAGCTACATAGCAAGACCCTGTACCAAATACATAAATTCATAAACAATAAATGAATAAATGAAATACATATTTTCTTTCCTGATGTATACATTTTCTAGGCAGACTATGTGTATATGCTATTATCACACAGTGCAATGACACACACTGCTAGATAAAATATAGTAGTACATAGCTTATAAAAAACACATACAATGACAATGAAAAGTGACCAGTATTTGTCACAAAACTTAGATAATGAGTATTTTTCTCATTCATTATTTAAATATCTATCGTGTATATCAGGCATTACTTCACACAACAGAGCATATGCAGCATAAGCCCATTTGTATGAAAAAAAGAAAAATAGCACAACTACCTGTTTTGGTTTATTTTTCTTAAAGAATTGTTTTGAATTTTAATACAATGTGGCATAGGAATAGATATTAACCTGGATGATTATCCAATCTTCCAGCTTTCCTTTTTATAGAGAAACTAAAAGCCTGGCGGTGTGCTAGGTACTGCTATTAAGAAGCAGTCAGGGGCCAGAGAGATAGCTCAGCAGCCTAAAGCGCCTGCTGAGGCAAGCTTAGGCAAGCGCACAGGGACGAGAGTTCCACCTGCACCATATGCCCTGCCAGCCCCGCCCCCCCCGGGGGGGGGGGGGTGAGCCGGCACAAAAAATAAAAAAATTTTAAAAAGCAGCAGTTAAATATATTCCCCCCAAACAAAATAATTTCATTTGCTTTCCATTCACAGAAATAAAAGACACTGTACAACACTGCTAAGATTTCTTTTAAAACACTTTGATATTACATACAATAAAATATAGTAGTAAAATATGAAGCACACTTACTAAACTTTTACAAATATCTGCAATGTCATTCATCAGCTTTGATGTTAACAATCGTAGGAAAAAGTCAGATGCAATCTTTTTTGGATTTTGCTGTATTTAAGAAAAACAAAGAACCAAGAAACAATTATTCTTGATGCTAGTATTTTTTCTATCAAAATAAAATGTAGAAAAAGGCCAGTACATGTTATTCTGAAAACATCAATCTCTTACAGTAATAACTGCTGCAATAAAAGTTTTTCCTTGGCTTAGAAAAGATTAAAGTACCAGTTATTTATTTTAAAAATAAGTAAGAAGTGTAGATTAGAGTTCATTCTTTCATTTCTATCCTTCCACATATACAAAAAATGCAGGAAATTCATTATAAAATCAAAAATATATGCTGATAATATAAATACATGCCCATGCCCATAGGATTAATACTAGCTTTCACAAATTTCCCAATTATTAACTCTCTGGCATACCTCTGCTACCCCACAGGCCAGCTCCAAATCAAAACAAAGATTACTTACAATAAAAAAAATAACTTCATCATTTTTTTATTTTTTGAGACAGTCTCACTTTGTGCTTCAAGGCTAGCCATGAACATGTGGCAATCCTCCTGCCTTTCAAGGGCTGAGATTACAGGTATGCACCACCATACCCATCAGAACAATAAACTTATAAATGAACAAAAATAACCAAAACAACTATCTGCCCAATGAAAAGACTATAATACACCAATAAGAAAATCTTCAGTCCTAGCCCAGGCCCAGTGAGTACGTGGGAGAGCTTTCAGCTACCCTGCGCCAGGGGGACCTACCGGTCCCAGCCCAGGCGCAGCATGGGTGAGACCCTCTTCCACCCCCTTGGGATGCCCCCCACCACTCTGTAGTACCCCCCACCCCGCCCACCGAGTAGGAATTTCTGT